CAATCATCGTGGTATAGCCTTGTACTACCCGCTCATACAGCATACTAATTTAAAGATAAATAAATTCTGCATCATTTGACACACTAATATTTCATCTAGACGGTCACTCAAAATTGGCCCAAAGATTCTCTACTACACGAGCTTTGATTGGCCTTAAAAACTCAAGCTTGGCAAAATTGTGCGAAATCAGAGAAACGTAGTAAAGACTTCTCTGTTGACACCCACCCCTTGGCGCTCATATGACCTTATGCAGTTGCGAGCGCCGTAAAACCCTCTACTAAAAAAAGAAGAAGAAGAGAAACGTAAAAGTGTGTTTGCTCGTATATAGAAGTGCATCAACATTGGTGGAATGGACTTATACTGAATTACAAATGAAAAGAGAATATTGTTGTCTCTACAGTGAACAGCATCTTCTCATGATATTTTCAAACAGAATGGAAAACAGAGCTGTTACAAATACCACACAAAACCTCGACTTAACAGTTACGCGTGTTCATTAGTTTTAATTTTGTTTTTTGTTTAGGAGCTATTGGTTTCGTATCGAGCACGAGACCTATGATTGCACATGGACTGTGTTAGTTAGATTTTGGACTTAATCATCAGTGAGTGAGGAGCACAAGCCACGAAACGACAATGGTTTTGGGTGGTCTGGGGTGGAATGAACAAAATTGCCTTCATGAGAATCACCTGGTGCCTTGGTTTAGTGGACTATGTCGCGTAAGTGAGGAACGTAATGTCGTCATTCAACTTATTTTCGTTGTAATGTCATTGAAGTAGACATCTCCGTGCACAGCAAAGCACTTTCTCACAGTCACAGGGCCAATGTCACCAGACAATTCTTGGAAAACCAAATAAAATCAGTGTCGGAATGGTCATTAGTAAATAGCCCCGATATGAATCCTATATAGGTATGTGAAGTCCCGGGAATTAGCAGTTAGCAGTTGGAGAAAATCGACAGTGCTCCCAATTCAGACCTTTTGTTGACACCTCTCTGTGACATTTGAGATGATATGACAAATGATTGTGTCCAAAATTTGATAAAGTCGAGGCTCAAAAGGTTCGTGCACTACACAAAACCAAGGCTCCGTAGCAAAATGACAATAGGCACATTTAATGTCATGTCAAGCTATTTGTGATTGCTATATTTCCCGTTTTGTTTGAAACTATCGAGACAAAATACCGTAATAAAACCAGAGACAAAATTCTCCATTCATTGGATATGTGCAATGTATGTCCATTCTATCAATATTGATGATCCTCAATACGCGCTCGAAGACAATTTTATGTTTCTCTGATTTCGTACAATTTTGCCCAGCCTGATTTTTTAAAGGTCAGTTTGAGTGACCATATCTCAGGCGTCTATAAACAAAGGTGAATTATTCATGTGTCTCATGAT